AAAACCTGCCTAAAAGGCAGGCTAAGGTGCTAAACAAGGCCATAGTTTCACAGTTGTTTGGAACTGGCACAAACCAGCATTGCCACTGGAGGAGGTCACCCTGCCCTTCCCTGACCCTTGCGTGCACGGCCCCCGCCACTCCCATCTGCTCACACAAAGGCTAATACAGCCTCATGTCAGCTTTATTCATTTTACCATGGTAATTTCAAGCCAAACCACTGCTCTGACCCAGTTCGCCATGGTCTACACGGGTTATGACTTTATTGCTAATTAAGAGAGTGCCAAGCAGTGCAGAGGGACTTGCAGCTATTCTCTTTATGGCTGGTCACCTCTGGAGAATGGCTCCTTCCTCTCCACAAAACACCTGGCCCTCGGTCTTCTGCATATCACACGTAGTGCAGTTGTGGCCCCAAGACATAATTACTCTTTTGTGCGTGCTTTTTTTCAGTTCAAAGAGCCTGAAAGAATGTGATGGCCGTGTCGCAGCTTACCAGGAGAGGTTTTTTATTGCATGAAGCAGTGGGTATGTGTTGCATGCTCTGTGACAACGTGGGCAGAGCAGGGGTTGGTGAGGACGGAGTAAATTTGGGGGACTGTGTAGGACAAAGGGACCCAGAATTAGCACAATCTCATTCATCCTGCCCAGTCAGGGGATCCTGGAGTGAACTATACCGTGAACAAGCATAGAAGGGAGGTGCAGGCAGGAGAAGAAGGGATTGCAGAAGAACAGCTCCCCCTCCTCTAGCGGCAACGTCCACTTCCAAGCGCCTGAAGGATTTCAACTCGTCTTGGCAGGACATTGTGAATCTCATAGCAATGATGTGAAATAAACTGATCTTAATTAAAGAGCATGTAAGTCCAAGGAGTTGGCTTTGGCATACGTAAAAGATGGGTGAGCACCGGTGGGCTTCAGCTCAGAAAAGAGATAGATCAGGGCTCTGGTTTACTGCTCAGAGCAGAGCAGCTGAGTGAGACTCTAACATGGACCAGTCCCTGTCCTTAAAAGTTGTTGCAGGTCATCTGTGTGAAATTACACGATGATGATACTGAATCTGTACATGCCCAAGTTTGGAACACAGAATATCATTTGCAGTGTGTGCCAGTAGATAGCAATGTTAATGTCCCTGCTGAAAAAACATACCGAGTTTATCTTCAGAGCCATTCATTTTTAGTTGCCATAGAAACAGACATTAGAGCCATTTTATATCTGGCTGACAAATCCCACATTTTCTGATCCTGCTCTTCTGATTTCACTTGCTCTTCTTTCTTTTTTTTCTTTCATGTCTGATTTTTATCTCAATGCAAAATGTCCGATAGAAACATAACTTCTACTACCTGAAACCCGGATATGAATTTTTTTTATTTTTATTTTTATCCACTAAATTCTCCATTGCACATATATATGTGCTCAGTTCATAAAAATATATATATCTCTCTAGTGAAAAACAACCAAACAAAGGAACAAAGACACAAACATAAACCAAAATTACAGTTATAGATACTTTCCTTTTCTGTTGCAATAAAGGGAGTATCAGATTAATATTAGGATTATATCTCCTTTCTGATGAATCTAATACAGATTCTCATCTGTTCTCCTAGTTTGCTCATCTTCAGTCATCCCAGATGGGTTACAAACACAAAACAGGAGTTTGTACTTACTTACTTGCATTTTAAATTAGTCAAATTATATGTTTTCTGTGATTGTTTTCATTGATTGAGGTGTTCTTCCAATATTTCTGAAATTTTCTACGTCTTTTTTTCTGCTTTAGTGATGATATCTGCAAGAAGAGAAAATCAATGTTTTTAAAAACATCCACTAATTCTGAGTGGCTCAAATACATAAAGGTGCTAAATTCTATCAGCATTTATGGACTTCTGCTAGTACTGCAGCGGCTGGCACTCTAGATGTCCAATTCACAAAAATTCTATAGGTGCTTTTGGAAATTTGAGCCCAAATGTCTCCTTTTGATTAAAACAAATATGGTGTCATGGTTTCAGCTGGGATGGAATTAACTTTTTTGCTAGCAGCTGGTGTAATGCTATGTTTTGGATTTGGGGTGGGAATAGTGTGCTACGGCACTGGTGGTTTTGGTCGTTGCTAAGCAGTCAAGGCCTTTTCTTCTCACACCGCCCCACCAGCGGGCAGGCTGGGGGTCACAAGAAGTTGGGAGGAGACACAGCCAGGACAGCTGACCCCAACTCACCAAAGGAATATTCCATGCCATACGACATCATGCTCAGTATATAAAGCTGGGGGAAGGAGGAGGAAAGGGCGGACACATTTGGAGTTATGGTGTTTGTCTTCCCAAGTAATCATCAGGTGTGACAGAGCCCTGCTTTCCTGGGGATGGCTGAGCACCTGCCTGCCCATTGGAAGCAGTGAATGGATATCTTGCTTTGCTTTGCTAGTGTGCACGGCTTTTGGTCTACCTATTAAACTGTCTTTATCTCAGCCCACGAGTTTTTTGTCACCTTTATTCTTCTGATTCTCTTCCCCATCCCAACTGGGGGGAGTGAGCGAGCGGCTGTGCAGTTCTAGCTGCTGGCTGGGGTTAAACCACGACACATGGTATACTTACCTAACTTAAAGAGCGAGAGTTAATGAATATATTATAACATTTGTGAACTATATAATAAACTAAGATTTAAAGTGTTGGGAAAATGCAAAATAATTACAAGTACTTTGTGTATTTTCTGTAACACAAAATGAAGTTGGGCTAAAAGTAACTTAGAATGAGACCTTACACACCAGAAGTTATTACGTATGAAAATTATTTATTCCTAAAATACCCTTAAAATTCCTAAAGAAATAACCCTGTTGAGAATAAAGAATTCTTTTCTGCCACTAAGCTGTTAACGCAAAAAGCATGTTCTATTTAGACACATGAAAGCAGTTGAAGCAGTCTTTAAGAATGGCCTTGAAACCCACAGCTTTGCTGTATTGTAAGTATTCTGACAGAATGATGGTGTCAGCTCGCCAGTGCACATAGCTTCTATCAATTCATATTCTGCTTATTTGCTTCCCTTTGCCATCTTTAAATCTCAACCTTTGTCCTGTAACAACTGTAATCAGTGCACACATAATTGTGATTTACTTTAAGGGCAGCAGTTGACAGCTCCTCCTCTGGGGCGAGTCCCCTCCACCCTGAATTGTAGGGCAGCAAAAAGCTGCCATGGGACTTACAGCAGTGATTTATTCTGCAGTATCCACAAGACCAACCCCCCTGGCTATCTGCCCAGCCTCGTTCCTCGGGTACTCTCAGGGGATGCAGGAAGGACAACCTCTGACTGCAGGATGGCCCCTGGGACAGCTGCAGATGAGAGCAATCCCTGTTCCTTGTTGCACTTCTGCAAAGGTTCCTGGTGCAACGCATTCTGCTGCACCTGCCTGACGTACCCCAGCACAGACACTCCATAAAATCTTGGTGGTACAAGTGGGACACCCATCCCTTCTGCTGCAATCCCAGCAGTGGGGTAGGGGTTGGGACTTGCCACACCACAGAAAACACCACGCCAGCAGCAGGAGCGATGAGCTCCCAGAGGCCACCGGTATGGGCATGTCCCCTCTGATCATCACTAACCGCTTATGCGGACGTCACTCAGCAGAGCTGCATAGCCGTGGACCAGTGTGAGACAGGATGCCATACTGTTTGAATAAGATACATTGCCTTCCAGTTCCAGACTAACTCTGATTATTTATAACGCAATAACGATAGATATTGCCACTCCTGAAATCTGGAAGTGCACAAGTTTCAAAAATCCAAACCTGAATGTTATGGAGAAGGCTCCTCTTGTCTGAAGCCGCATCTCTAACTAGCTGAGCTTGAAAGAGATGAAGCCTGGAGAACCCTGTTGTACTAGACTGGGCTCAAAGTTCTAAGACAGTTGCAATACATGATTGAACAGTGAAGAGTTTTTTCAAATTCAGAGTGACTCCTAATATCAGAAATAAACATAAATTAAAAAGGAAAAAGAAAATGAACAGAAACCCATGCAACTAAGTTATCCCCGAGCTTAAAATCTTTGAAAATTCAAAACCATCTGAAAGTGATCTTGATAGTGCAGTTCCTTTGTTTGTATACGCATATAGCCCATTCAGAGTAAAAAATATGTTTAATGCAATTACCACATTTAGGACACCTCAGTCAATTTAGAAGAAGAGATTAACTGCAGAAAGGTATTGCAAAAAATAGATTAGTGCCAATCTTAAGGGTAAAAATGAAATTTTGGAGAGAGGTTTTTAAACAAAGGGGAAGTAAAGCTATCAAAAAAATAGTATGTAATTTAAAGCTGAAAATACTTCTTCTTTCATACTTCTTCTGGAGGTAACTGAGCCTTCTGATTAGCAGCTTATATGGAAGTGGATTCAAACGGGTCAACTGAATTTATCATCACCTCTTGCACTATACTTACTTTCTCTAATACACCTTCCTGCCTTGAGGGCTGGAATAACCATGTCATTTGCAAATCATCTCCTGATTACCCATAATTTTCAACCTGGCTCTGAACCAGAGAGTGAAGAGCTGAACCAAGAGAATGAGGACACTGATGGGCAGTTATAGGAGGGAAAAAAAGGATGGAACACCATGCTCACATTTATGAGCCTGGAACAATTGAATACCTACAAAAAGACAACTCTGGGCAAGAGATGAATAATATCAGCTATTTTCCTACAATAGCTGTGTCAGTAGGAGTTCTTGTAGATGCCCTTTGGATGCAGTTTCATGTTACACTTAACCTAATTGAACTGTGAGCTGCAATGAAAAGCGGAGGTAATATTCCCCCTTACCCAGCACAGGCTGTTGCTACCTTTGTTTGGGAATGGGAACATGACTGTCCCCTTCCTTGTCAGCCTGCAGTTACATTAGAGTTAATAAAACTCAAAATCACATCCATTGAAAGTAAATACACAGACAAAGATTAGTGCCTATTTGCCACCTCATTTGGAACACAACGCTTTTTCTCGGTTTTTGTCTGTGCGGTTTTATAAACTGAGGGATTTCAGTGGAAAAGACAATTTCTTACAGTTTAGAGTGTACAGACTTACCATTTGGATTATTTTACTGGGAGTAAAACAATAAATGAACGTGTACAGTGGCTTCATGCAGCTTTGGAAAGATCAAAAGCTTCAGGACTACAACTAAAGAAACAAAACATATTCAATGCAATTGAACTAACATAGCTAGGACGTAAGTTTATACAACAAAACATACATTGTAGATCTCAACTATGCTGAGTCCTCTTCTAATTTTGAGTACTATCCTGATTAATACAGCATTTTATTGAGTTATTTCTTATCTTTTCACTTTGCTCTCTGTAACATTACTGCATGAACAGTTCACTCCGATATTAAAATAAAAAATCCGTTTGAAAATTCCTATACCATTCTCAGTCTCAATACCTCAGGGAAATTTCTAACATAAATTAATAGATTACTTTTTAAATCACTATTGTACTGAAACCGGTTCTGCCACTCTTACCTAAAGTAATACATTTAAATGTATTCTGAAGTAATCACACACAATACAAATGGATGGGAAAAGCCTTCTCCTCCCCTTTGTCTTGCGGCAGTAACACCCCAGTAGAAAAGGTTCGGAAAGGCCTTGGAGAGGAAAGCATGGAGAGGTCTTGTGGGCTAACAGAACACGCGTCATAAGGTTCTCAGAGCAACAGCTGCTGCTTTTATGTTCAAAATGAGGATTATACTTGAATTTCCATCGTTACAGCACAAGAGACCAAAGGAACAATATACAGATAAATAGGCTCTTGTGGATCCATGAGAAACAGGGACTTAACGTATAGGCCACTTTTTATGTAAAGCTGCCAGCGTCCTGCTTTCCTCCTCCATTTGATACCAAGGGAACTCCAGCTGTTGCAGTCAGACAATATTCCATGGCGTGAAAGAGGAACTGATGGAAGACACCAGTTCATCTGCTGCCACTCGTTCTCCTGTTGGGCTATGGGTTTGGAAGGTGTGCAATCCCTTCACAACTCATGGCTTTTGCCAGGACTCTTCTCCCAGACCAGGTTGTACCACCGATAGATAACTCTTTCTCTCATGACTACATTTCTATTTCAGTTCATGCTCTACGTCAGCCCTCTGAATTTTGCCAGGTGAATGCAATATATGGTCTAAATAATTTTGATGTGAACAAAACACGAAGCATTAACATTTTCACTAGGGCGGATAAATTCTTAAGATGCTCCACAGAGATAATAATTCACAAAGAAGCTATTGCTGACCACAAGAAAGATGAAGACAATCTTTAGTAAGGTTACTCATGAAAAGAATGAAAACACAGCAGAAAGTAAATAGAACAGCTTGAATAATATTTAGTCTCCTACACTGTTCACAGAATTTGCTTAATGATATGCATACAAGCATAAAAATGATCACAGCCTATTCTGTAAATGCCTGTGGGCAATAAATCTAGCAAGTCGAACTGTTTAGAAAGGCTCCAAAGTGGAAAAGCCCCCTGAGCACAGAAACACAGTGCAGGGCGGTCCAAGGGCTTCATTGATGCCCCTTCGTTATCTTACAGAGCAAAGAAGAGGCAATGTCTTTTCCTGCATCTTCAAAGACCCCCGGCAGGGTCCTTCAAATGCTAGTGGCAATCCCTGAGGTGGATTCTGAGGTGACGATAATGACTTTCTCATTCATATTTAATTTCCTTGCCCTTTTGAACATCATTACAATCTATGCTTAACTTTCTTAAGATATTCAGACGCATATAAAACATTGAACTGCACAAAACCTACTACCTCCTGTGAATTTTTGTCAGATAATTAGACTAGCAAGGGCTAAGTTTTCTTGACTTCAGTAACTTTGTTTAGCGTGGCCAGAAATATTAAGTGTCACAGTGCTTCATTTTGTTCTGTAGAAGACTAATCACTAAATTAGTTCATCATTAAGGAAATATGTGAACCCAATTAGATCTCAATACTGTAACAGTACCTTGCAAAACCAATTAATCATTTCATTCACATACGACTTGCACATTCATAGATAGGAAGTTGTACTTTTAACCTGTGATCAAACATAGTATTATCAATCATAATTGTAGCCAAAAGTTCAATTAAAGCTTTTTGCTTGTTTGTTCCTAACTATCATCTCTAAAATGTTTTCTTCAGGGGATAGTCTGAACTTTTCCAAAGGGCATGGCATCTGCTAGTTCCCCTAACCAGGGAACTCCAATAGAGTTTAAAACAAACTTGATTGCAGGGTTTCTGCCTTGCAGAATTATCAACACTGGGCATGACACGAGATCTGCAGCTGATAAATTTTAACGTGCCACAAGGTGGATAAGAACTCCAGGAATAACGCCTAAGCATCTCTGTGCCTGAGGTATACCTGGACTGTCAGCAGGTGCATTTCACAGAATATCCCTTGTTGTAGTTCTTCAATTTTTCACCGCTTTTCTGGTCTGTTCATTTTTCCCTTCAGTGGAGATTACAATGTTGGGGCAGCAAGGTAGGCAGAGATGGTCTGTACCCAAGTCCTGGACCCAATGTGAAGTCAGGACTGTTTGGGACACAGATGCTGATCTGGGAAGCACTCCCGGTCATGGAAAAAGAAATTTTGAGTCAAGCTAAAAGTAACACTTGGCATTTTTATTCCTTGTAGTGATGTTTTTATATTATTTTTCTTCAGTTTGAGAAATGCAAGCTTCTTACTGTCAGCTCACGATGAGGTAAAAAAAAAAGCTTTATTTTTGGATGTGCAACATCATGTACAACATAGAACATAATCTGTGATGTAGAACATTATGTACATTGTGCGTTACGCTTGAGGAGACGCTCACTGGCTTTGAAATCACCTGGAGCTTCAACACAGATCTGAGTAATAGGCACAGCCATTCAAACATAATCTGAAGCTGTCTTTGCAACTGTAACAGTTCTGAATACATGAAAACCAAAATCTCTTGATTTGATACTAATTATCTTCACTTTGCAACATTAAAACTGAGCTGTGTAACAGTCAATATCTCAGTATCTGGCTAAACGCACAACAGTCTCTGCTTGTTTATGTCCTTTCTGCACGTTATACTGTTCTCCTGAGCCCAGCCTGTGCACCCCTGGTTTGAAGATGAAGCACTCTGCTTCCTTTTACAGAAGTTTAAAGTCCTTGGCTATCAAGCTATCGACACTCTTCTCCTCTGCTGGGCAGCACCTTCCCCGCAGCTAAGGCAGGGAGGATGAGGGAGACACACGAGTAAGCACCCAGCAGAGCTTGCATGAGCCCCATCCCCCGAGACAGAGGACCCCCGACAGCCGCCTCGCAGTACACCCAGCACGGGTAAGGCCCAGCGCCGCCAGCACCGGACCCCCGCGGCCCCCTCACAGCCTCACGGGCCG